GCCACTGCCGCGGGCACGTGGCTGAGCCACCGTTGCCTTGTCATTTAAGACACTGCGGCCATGCAGGCCATGCTGATCGAACATGTGCACGCCTTGTCTATAGTGCCTATGCATGGGTGTCCTAATCACGCCGCTCATGTCCTACCAAGGCGAGGACGAGACGAGTCACCTGCAGCGCCCTGTCTCTCTCTTTCTCTCTTTCTCCCTCTGCTGCCGCCATCGAGCGCGCCATTAAATTTGTCAGGGAGAGATCACCTCAAGTCGATTCATCATGTTGTTGGCTCAGTCACACAGTTGCCTAGCTACCCATCCCTACCCCGCCTTGAATGGCGCCCGGTCGAGCTTCAATTTTGGAGCTATTCCCCGCCACTGTGCCGATAAGGTCGAGTCCGCCCATCACCGAGGGCAGCTCTCATCTGACCACCTCGGGCTAAATTGGCTACACTGCTAGACTTGCCTTGAACCCCTCCTCGCCATGCGCACCTGAGCCGTACCTCTATCGATGTCCCAACACTACTGACGTGGTCATGTCCGTTGCGGCTCATCGCCGAGCTCGCCGCGCATACATGGCCTGCCTTGCTTGGGGTGTCTCCAACCGAACCATCACCTCGGCCAGGTCCTTGGTGAGTCACTGATGCACACCCGCTACCTCTACTACTTCCTTAGTGTCGTGGCTCACCGAAACATTGTCGTCACCACTGCAGGTTGTTCGCCAATGTGGAGAGGTCGCCCTACTTTGTCTTTGGTCTATGAATCACTGCCCATTGTTGTGCGCTGTCCTGTAGGTGAGCATCGATCCTCTAGATGGGTCGAGGGGATCCCCAGTTGGCCGACGTAGCAGCCCAGTGACGGTCAATGCCGTGCTGGCGAGCGCGGAGGAGTCAGGGACCTCTCCAATGCGAAGATGGGTTAATACGAGGGTCTTCTTGCATAAATGTTGTCTGTAGAAATAGTGCGCATAGTCATCGTGTTAATAGAGGATAGTGCGGGGGCGTTTCTGCAAAAGCACTGACACGCGCAGGCTTCCTCGCCTCGGGCCGCCTCGCGTGCGTGGGCTGGTGGCGCGTGGGTCGCCGCGCGCTCGTGCGCGAGCTGCATCGCGTGGGTCATGCGTGTGGCCCACGCAGGAGAATTCATTTTTCTTTTTTCATAAGGAATTAGAAATAATTTTCTAATATAATTTTTAGCTGATCTTTGGTAAATCATATAAAATGATGTAGGTGTCCTAAAATTAAGAAACAAATTTTGTTAAGTTCCTAAAATTATGCTCTATCTATTAGTGTATTTAGTTCATATATGTACATGTTGATACCAGGAGCTATTAAATCATTTGAAAATTTTAATATTGTTAGGAGAATTATTGTAGGAATTTTCGTGGTAAATTGGTGACAACTTTAGTCCTAAAATTTTTATAGTAGCTTCATTGTATTATTATGTGCTCACTGTAATTTTTGTAGCTTTAGAATAGACTAAACATAAGGGTAGTTAAATGCTCTTTGTTTCCAATATACATCGAATCATTAGTAGAAATAAAGATATAGTCTTCATTTGTAAAGCTAGGTGTTTGTTAGTTGAACCTAACACTTTGCTTGGTAAAAATGATAGTTAGCTTAGTACCTTAGTCATTAGAGCTAGCTTAGTAGCTTAGTATGAGTATCCTTATTTAAGAGTTGCTGTTGCATAAAATGCTAAGTGTTGCATCATCATCGCATGCATGTAAAGAACGAGTTGGTGGAGATGATGACTATCGGTGATCATGAGTTCGAGGAGATCGTTGAGGAGTACGAGGAGGAGATTCTTGTGCAGGAGGTCCCAGAGCCGCCACTGACTGACTCAGCTGACACCGCACCTGCCCAAGGCAAGCCCCGGTGCATAACCCCTTATTTTTGGATAATCACTGTTTATATATGTTATGTGCATTTATGTTACATGAATTTTATGAAAACCACATACATAGATATATCTATCCTATGAGTCTTACTAGTATAGGTTCAAGTCGCTGCTATGCTTAGGTTTTTGGTAGCGTGAGTAACCTACCGTTACTCACAATAGGTGATTATTATAATTACTCTTATGATAAAATGATGAAAGGAAAAATAGAGACATGACAGGGATATGATATGGGTGTTGGTGGGTGTAACAGGTTGTGTCCCGTGGCCAATGAGGCTTAGCTTGGTTACACTGTTTTCCCTGTCTGTGTCGATTAAGGACCGTCCGTTGCTGTGGATGGTAGTCAGGTCACAGACTTATTATCCTGAGCACATACTTGCTTATGGAAGCAGGAATGCTCGTTATGCTCTTGTCGTTGGTTCTGGCTCTTTTTGGACCGACTAATTGGAGATGGGGAAAGGTGGAGGTCTAAGCACCATACTAAGACTAGGTCTCAAGTGTGGGGGCTTGGAGTCCAAGTTTAGATGGGGACCTAGACCCCGTGATAGGAGTGGAATATGTTGGTCTTGTTTGTGCCTGGGGTGCAAACGGGGCGTGTGTTTCGGGGTACCCAGCTGGGATACCTTGGTTCACAAATCGCCGTTTCCGTGAGACGGTATGACTTGGCTATGGTCTAGCACCGTAGTAAGAACTGGAAGATGAAAAATAATAAAATGGTTCTGATTGCTAACCCTTGCTTAAAAGTAGAACATGTGCTTACCTAGAATGGTTAGCTAATAAAGTCATCATGACTGCTAATAAAACTTGACTGTAAGGATAAACTATTAGTAATGCTTTTCGTAAACAAAAAGAAAACAACAAATACATATTGCCTATCACACTCCTTGGAGTCAGAAAACTATTCCCACTAGTCAGGTAAGTCTTGCGAGTATATTGTGTACTCAGGGTTTATTTCACCTCTGTTGCAGGTGCAGCTTGATAAGTAGCTCTTGTGTGGAGGATTCTTTTGGTGGGTACAGACGGATCCTTGTATCGTTTTTGCTAGATGTTTATTTTCATTCCGCTATTTAATTATCACACTCTGAACTCTGGTATTGTAATAAATAATTTCTAAGAACTCTTGTTGTATAAAATGGACTAAGTATTGTAAGCTCGTACTCATTATTAGATTCTGAATGTAAAAACGTGGATTGTTTCGAGTTCTCCCTAGTGGAAGACAAGCGCATCTGAAAACGTGTTATTTTAGACGGTTCTGCCACATTCATCCCCTTTTGGACATCTTTATTCTTTCAAGGCTGTTTGTCACATCCAAATTCTGACCTAGACTGTTGCTCTTGTAACCTCGTGTGTGCTCGTTTTATTTATTTGCAAAATAAATAATATATAAAATTGGAGTGTGGGAACATGAGTGCTCGTGAGAATTCTTCTTCCTATATAGGCCTTGTTTGCTTCGCTAAAAAGTTAGGCTGAAAATAGAATTGATGCCCTTCGGAGTGCTCATAAGGGTAGGGTGTGCGTGTGTATGTTTATAGGGGTGAGTATGTGTTCATGTATGTGAGCGTCTAAATTATGTAACTGAGTCTTGCAAAAAAAGTAAAAAGATCTACCCTAGCCGGTCATCTAGGATTCTTTTTCTGTTTGTTTGTATGTACTCTATTCATCCCAAAAAGAATACAATTCTGGGTTATATAAGCCAGTAAAAGAGTGTTCGGCTGGACTAAATATTCCACTGTTCATGCTATTTTCTACTGTTCATGCTGGTTTTTTTTAAGACAAAAACACTGCTTCGGCTAGAAAAAAAAAAAAGACAGGCCAGCCAGCTAAAGATGGCTATCCGAACACGCCGTAAAACTTTGTTAAGTTTGGGTTTAAAAAAGAAAAACTTTGTTAAGTTTGGACGAGTTTCATAGAAAATAGTATTAACATTTATATTTTTAAATTAGTTTATTATAAAAATATATATTTTATAATTAATCTAATAATACTTATTTTTCGCGAACTATACAAGTATAAACGCAGACGCTCAATATGCACGCACACTCACCCCTATGAACATACGTACGTAAACCCTACCCCTATGAACACCTTCGAAAGAACGTGTGAGAACGTCGTCTACCACTAAAAGCATAATGCCATTAAATGCTGGAATAAATAAATCCAGAAAAATAAGAGCACTCGTGCCATATCGAGAACTTGAACCCTGGTAGACATCAAACCTGACCAACTGAGCTAGACTCAATTCACCTAATAATACTTATTTGATATTATAGAAATTAATATTTTTATATAGGTCTAGTTAAACTTAAAACTGTTTGCAAAAAATGCAAATTGTGTTTCTTTGTTTCTCCATCGATAAGCCTGGCAGTAGCAGAAATTTGGAAAGGCACTGCTAGCGTCCGAACGGATGTTCGTGGCTGCGGTCTGTTTCCCCCGCGTCCATGCATGGGCCCACGCGCGGCCGGACGTTGCTTGCCCACGCTTGCATCTCGTGGCCACGCAGGGACCATGTCGCCAAAAATCACGCCGCGTGGGTACCGCTCGTGCCCCTCTCCTTCCCACGTGTATCCCATGTGTAATACCCGATCTACTTTTAAAACATTGAGATGCAACACTTGCAACATAAAAAAAAGAAAGATGAAACACTTGAAATATGCGACTAAAATACTTGTAAAAACACTTGAAAACTATTGTAAAACATATATAACATCCAGATAAAGCACTTGAAATATATGTGTGAAAACATATGCAACATCCAAATAAACATGCTTGCAATATATGTCTAAAAACAGATGAAATATTGGGAACATAACCTTGTAACATACGTGTACAACCATTGCAATATATGCTATATTCTGATCTAGTTTTGCAACATCCCTATGAAACGCCTGCAACATATCTCTAAAACACTTGAAATAAACGCTCGCAACATACGCTTTCAAGCGTAACATCTACTTAGCTACTTGCTGCTTAGACGAAATAGAGGCTCGTCGATGCGGAGCTCGACACCAACGTGAAGCTCGGGGAGAGAGAGATGCCTGCGGGCAAGCGGCTACGTGGCCCAGATGAGCGGCTGCACGGCTCTGTCAAATTGCTGACGGGTGCGGTCCCCAATGGCGAGGCTCCCCCGCGGAAGTGGCGACAACGCTGCCCGCAGCAAGCGACCCCGCGCTGGAGAAGGTGAGCGGCGAACGAGAAGCGCGATGGAGTTGGACGCAGAGGTCGGATGCCGCGGTGGATAAGGCTGTTGCTGTGATTGGAGCCTTCTAGACAAGGGGATACGAGCAGCCACGTTAGAGAGAGGAGCACCAACGTGAGAGAGAAACATGTTTAGTGGAGACTCTTGAGCCGTTGATAGATTGTATGGGTTATGGTCCAGTTTAAAAAGGGTTAGAGAACAGAAAGCAAACAGTCCAGAAGCCCGCTTAGGCCTTGTTCGATTACTAAGGTCCCGTTTAGTAGGGCTTCTTCACCAGCTTCAGGAGTTGTTAGGAGTCGTTTTCTGTCAAACGGGGTAAAGTGAAATAACTTCACTGGTGAAGCCCCTAAAAACATGCTCTCACAATGATTTGGGGGGATGGAGCAAAAAAAAAAAAGTGGCTTCTCCTGACCTCTCCTCCAGGCCCCTAAAAATATGCTCTCACAGGGAAGCCATTTAATCAAACGGTTTACCAAAACCGCTTCAGCTCCATCGGTGGAATTATTTGTGGAGTGAAAGCAAAAAAAAATAGCTTCACTAGTGAAGTAAAACTCTGCCCAAACGGAGCCTAAGTATTCCTTCCGAAATCAAATCTAAGTGATCAAAACTTATACAAATTATACCAGTAACCACAGTTCCTTGAAACGAACGGGCCCTTACGAGAATTACTGAAATTGGAACGGGCCAAGGCCACCAACACCGTCCGCCTTGGGGAAGTGGAACCCGTTGAGAAAATGAGACCAGGGGCTTGTTTAGATCAACTCTAAATTTTAAGTTTTTTCACTCTCTTTTCATCACATTAATTTTTGAATATATATATGGAGCATTAAATATAAGTAAAAAAATAACTAATTATACAGTTTGGTTGTAAATCACGAGATGGATCTTTTGAGCCTAGTTAGTCCATGATCGGATAAAATTTATCAAATACAAATGAAACGTGCTACAGTATCAGGTTGCAAAAAAATTGCAATCTAAACAAGGGCCAGAGCAACCCGTACGAAGTCAAACTGGTAGTACCCTTGACAACCTGGCGATAAAACCCTCGCCAATCCCCATTTTCACCGCCAGATTCGGCGCCGTCTGGATCGATTTCCTGTGCCTCTACTCCTACAAGGGAGCAGGCGATTCAGCACAATCTGTTATTGCTGACTGAACCGTGCAGACAAGTGTTGGCGAGCGCATGGGCGGAGGTGGAGACGGGGGATCGTGCGATCTCCTCCAAGTTCTTTTCGGTAGGGGCATTTTACTTCATAAACAATGTTTTACAGCGGATCGAATGCTAGATGCATTTAGGAGCTTGGTTAATGGATAATGCTTGTTCGTTGAGTTGAAGTTTTCACATCTGAGATTGGACTATGCGTATAGTGGGGCTCAAGGAATGCAAATCCATTTGTTTACCAGGGTATACAATCATGCAGTACCCTAGACATCTTAGAGTTGTTGCATCAAATCCATTTGTTTACCAGGGTATACAGTCATGCAGTACCGTAGACATCTAAGAGTTGTTACATCAAATGCACTACGATATCATTCCTCTGACTCTACAGTCAAGTTTTCTTTTCAGCAGTTGGATTAGGATTTATTGTTTATAAAGTAGGCTTGGTTGTCCTTATGCCGCATTTGTTTGATGTGCCTTTTTACAATTCCAGAGGGGGCCTTAGCTGGAGGAGCTGCTGGTGTTGTTGTTGAAACAGCTTTATATCCCATTGATACAATAAAGACCAGGCTTCAGGTAAGCTGATTTTACATTTGAATGCAGCTCCCTTTTGTTTAGCTTATCATGCAACCATCATTCTGCAAATTGCTCATTCTCGGATGCATGGTAATATGCGTATATTTAATAATATACTCATTAATTCATGGCCCTGACTGATGCCATTCTTAGTAATATACTCATTAATTCATGGCCCTGACTGATGCCATTCTTAGTAAATTTAGACCAATGTGTCTCCACAATCTCTTTCGCTACCAAGTCTTCTGGATGTGCTTGTGGCGCCTACAAGACTCTCATGTGTTTTTTGAGGGGGCACAGCTTGTATCAGTTTTATTCGCTTACCTGTTGGTGAGGAACCAAATTCAAGTAACACAGAAATTCATAGATCAACTTCATGAGATTTATTTTTCTTATTTTTTGTACAGGCTGCACAAGGCGGAAGTAAAATTCAATGGAAAGGCCTGTATGCTGGGTTAGCTGGAAATATTGTCGGTGTTCTTCCGTGAGTATTTAGTATTACAGTGAAAACTGAAGAGGTTTCTTATGCTAGCCTAGAGGACGCTATCATGCTGTTGTCAATGCAAGCAGAGGGAATCTGGATGTATCACTTATGTTTTAGTGTATTGCCGTATTGCGTATTCTTAGCTATTTCTCCCTGATGTTTTTTACTGTAGTTCATATTTATATTATTGTGGTTTTATCCTTTCCATACTGTATTGAGGTGTTACTAGTTCATGATCTTATTTCCATGGTCAATGTCTAGTTACATTCCTGACATATATTGCTATATCTGAGTTGAGAATATGAGACCCTGATTGTATCATAGTTATCGGTTTTTTCCCATATATATCTGTTTCATTGTGATTTCTCTGAGCCACTTCATATTTGTTACAGTGCTTCCGCAATTTTTGTTGGAGTATATGAACCAGCTAAAAGAAAACTACTGGAAATATTTCCTGAAAATTTGAGTGCTATTGCCCATTTGGTATGTCAGCTGAAAAACTACATAGCCTTGTTGATTTCTTACTTTTGAGTATATGGAATTACTTGGTGCCAAATTAAATGGGATAGTTGAAAAAAATACTACTATTAAGCTAGTGATATAACCTTTCAAACCTTTTGCTTTACAAATTACAATGAATTTGTTTTGTGTTCTGAAGATATATGCAAAAGACTGCAGGGGCAATTGGGGGGGCTGCTTCTTCTCTCATTCGTGTTCCCACAGAGGTCAGTTTTATTCTTTCTGCCCTTGGCACTTCAAGTGTTACCATAATTTGAATTAAAATCCACTGGATTCAGGTGGTTAAACAAAGAATGCAAATGAGTCAGTTCAAGACTGCACCTGATGCCGTTCGCCGCATTGTTGCTAAAGAAGGAATTAAAGGACTTTATGCTGTATGTATTTTTCAGACTTTCAGTCATATGACAATTTTCTTTGTTTCATATTTTGTGAATGCTGATGAATTATGTCTACTAGGACGATCAATATTTTCATTTTTTCCATGTACATTCTAATTTCAGTGGCTCATCAGTTCCACAAACATGTGCCGTTCGGTTTGCAGGGCTATGGTTCCTTTCTACTGCGAGATCTTCCATTTGATGCCATTCAATTTTGCATATATGAGCAGCTCCGAATTGGTTATCGATTAACGGTATTTATCTCACTTATATTTGATGAATATAATGTCTTGTTCATGAAAAATTCCATGTTCTTTTGAACCAGCATGTTCTGATTGTTAGTTCAGAATGGGATGATTGTGCTTGCAGTGATTAGGGCTCTGAATGGAAGTTGAATCAGTATGATGAGAGAACACAATAGCAGTGAAAGAGTAATTCATTCTTCCTGTTTTATCACAGTGATATCCCATCAGGAAGGATGGCATGGCTTTGACTTACTATGAAACATTATCCAAACTAAAAAAATACTTGAGCAAAGATAATTGTGCAAACTAACGAAATCAATCGAACTCTGATAAAGGGGAGTCAAAATATTAGCGACAAATGCTGTAGTTTTGTATTGCCCAAAGGAAAAATAATGTATTCAAAGTGAATGCATCTAACATTCTGGATAAACCCAAAGGAGATACTAATGCAGTAATGCTGATCACAGAATATCAATAGTAGCAGCTTAACTTCAGGATAACTGTAGCCTTCCTATTGTTTCTGAATTCTTCATATCCATTGTCGCCTCTTGATTTCTTGTTTCACAGTTAGCTCCCAAAAGCTACACTTAATTTATGGCTTCAAGGTCATCCATTATTTGTGAAAGAGATCTTATGGCTTGCTTCATTGCTAGTGTCTGGAAGCCTGGATTTCTATAACACAGGATGGGTCTATTCCTACTGCTGTTTACAGCAAGAGGATAATTATAGCAATTGGAAAGTGCATCCCATTTTTTTTTGTTCTGTTGGTACACATGGGATGTGGGAGTGCGTTTTATTATCACTTGTCTTTTAGTTTTAGTAAGTTTAAACTGACTTGCCATGGCTAAGTTCAAACCTTTATGCACATTAATGACTTTTATATTCAAGTTCAGTAATTACCTCTCTTTTAGTTTTCCTTTAAATTTGATATATCCTAGGACTGCTAAGCACTTATTTACCGAGTCTTGACTTTCTTGTGGATCCAGGCTAAGAGGGAGTTGAAAGACGCAGAGAATGCAATTATTGGTGCTTTTGCTGGTACAACTGAACTTCCATACTAAGCTGGTTTCCAGTATATTCCAGTTTGGTATTCTTTCCTATCTTTTCTCAAGATTGTGCATAGTTTTTAGACCCAAAAAACAGCAGGGGAAGCCCCCACTGTTAGAATTTTATTAAACCAAAAAGAACCAGGTTGTGCATATTTGCTATTCTATAAGCATTTATATCAATATTTTCTTTGAAGTTTTCTTAGAGTTTTGTGCATTTATGTATTCTGTAATCAATGATTAAAAACCGGTTCTGTAATTTTTCTCATCTCTGCGCCAAAATTACATTTGGCTTTTTCAAGTGCAATCACCCTTTAGGGTGCAATAGTGAATCATTATCTGTTCAGACACCAAAATGACATGAAAGAAGGCAGAAGAAAGTTCTAGCTTGGCTTCTCAATGTGTTCTACCTGCGTTTAAAAACTAAGTTTAGATCCATTCTTGTTATGAGTAACATATGGAAGAAACACAAGTTACAACGTTCAACTTTTCAGCCATCTAATTTATCCTTAAATTGCCAAACCCTTTGTACCCTTGAACTATAATTGTCTAATATATGCACCCAAAACCACAATCCAGTTTGGGTTTGCTGACATGCAGTGTTAACCTGACGCTAAACACAAGACGGTCATCAACCTTCCGACTAGCGTCTAGACGGTCTAGACCAAGACTAGACATGTCTAAACGTATTAGACAATTTTGTATTGCAGTGGCTAAAATTTCAAACAAATATCAGAAAAATGCACATGTAATTGGCTAAATGTACTCTAGCATCCAAAACACTAAGACGATATTATGAGAAGTTGAGATTTTAAATACAATAGTTCCAAGTTTTCGGTTTATCACACATCTAATTCATCATCTCTTTAACATATAGACATGACAATTTACAATTTATAGAAACCAAAAGAAGCAAAGAGAACCACAGATATGATATGATATGATATGATATGATTAGGATTTAGGACATGATATGATATGATTAGGATTCAGGACATGATATGATATGATTAGATTATTAACTTAATTATAAGCAATATCAATCTACGCAGGATGGTTGAATGCTTCCTTTGTATGCTGTTCGGGTGAGATTTGGGTTGTCTCATTGCCTAGACTTATGTCTAGGACACCTAGTCGATCGTCTAATAGAGTCTAATGCATGTCTAGCCTTTGTGTCTAGACGGTTGACTAGAGTTGACTGCCTAGACGGTCTAACCGTCTAGCCCAAAGTCTAGGGGCTAAACTAGTCGTTAACCCCATGACTTGCGTCTAGACGGGCTAGACTTATGTCTAGGCGAACACTGCTGACATAGCACCAATATGCTGGTGGTTTTGACTTACAGGTGCCGATTGCCCTCCCCATTTAGCATACATAAGTAACTTTAAAAAAAAAAGATTGCATCAGTAGGTGATTCCACTTGCTATATCCTTAGTTTATGATACCCTTATATTGGCATATTTAGTATGGTAGCTTAAGTGCCCACTTCGTATTGTCAGGTGCCATTACTGGTGCTTTAACAACACCCCTCGATGTCATGAAGACAAGATTAATGATTCAGGTGGATCTTGTCACTGCATGAACTCTTTGACCTGAGGGCACTTGTTAGGGATCACTGCTTATTTCAAAGTTTCCTCTGATTCCAGGGACAAGCAAACCAATATAGAGGATTCATTGATTGTGCTCAGACTATCATGCGAGAGGAAGGTGCTGGCGCATTTTTGAAGGTAAAACTTCTGCATTCGCCGTAGACACGGTAACAAGAACTTGCACGAGTTCACATTGATGATTAAAAATAACAGGCATTTCACGTCACATTTGAAATCCTGTGTGGTCCACATTTGAGATATCTTTGCTTGTTTATGTCTTCTATCTCTATGAAGCAATATGATAGAATAGCTGGACCACAACTATAAATAGGCACTTGCGAATGCTGGGTTCTGCCTGGGTATGCACAATTCGATTGATATCTTTCTGGTTGCAGGGTATTGAGCCAAGGGTACTATGGATTGGCATTGGCGGGTCAATCTTCTTTGGTGTTCTGGAGAAAACAAAATCGATTCTAGCTGAGAGGAATATCCGTCGGTGAGAGGATGAATGAAAGGTGGCATCATGATCATTTCCCCTAGGGCACAAGGCGGAAGTGCGGCTGGCGAGATTTTGAAGCCCCAGTTTCCCTTTCTATTCTGCTCCATTTTTTTTGGACAACAAACGATTTTATTTCAGCAGCGAGAAGCTGCGAGAAGTCTTACAGAATGTATGTTTACAGCAGTCAGTGCATCCAAGAGAGGGCACCGATGACTATGATTACTGTAAGAGCACACAGGCTCAAAAGATGCAGTAGTTGGATCTGAGACAGAGAAGGCTTGTCTAGCCAGGGCATAGGCGTGGTATTGAGGTTCCTATTAATCTTGTAAATCTTTGCTTGTCGACGAGCGGCGCAGTTGGTGAACAGCTGGGTAAAGGATTTCATTCTCCAGTCCGGAGGATGATCTTGATCTGTAGCATTTAGAAAGTGAACCAACTGCTTGCACTCGGATAAGAAGGTTGTGCTGTTGAAGTTGAGGAGATCGTTGACTGTTGCTGCGAGAACAAGAGCTGCAGCCTCAGCCATGATGACTGAGTGAGCGCCTGACATGATCGCCCTGATGTTGATTGTTTGCACTGGTTGTACCTGCGTATTGACAAGGAAAACTCCAAGACCAGCCGTTCTTGGTGGCGGCAATGCATGATCAGGTGTCAAGGATGCGTCAGCATAGCACCTGACGCCTGGCAGCAGGGCCGGCATTTGGATAGTATACCTGTCCGTCTGGGCGTTGGTGCATTCGTGGTTGAGGCATCAAGCCTGTTCGCTGCTGCATCAAAGGGTTGCATACCTGATGCTGGGATCCGCACCATGGATGATGAGCTTGAAGTGTCGTGCTACTGGTTGAGTTCGCAGTGTTACGTGCAAAGTGTTAGAAGTGGCCAACATCCTCTATTCTAGGCCCAAAGGGGCAAGTATACATGTGTGTATATAAGCAAAGAGCCTCTCCAAGTAGAGGGAAAATACAAAGTACATCTAACACCCCCCCTCTCAAACTCATGGTGGATCTACAACACTGAGTTTGGAGAATAAGAATCTATGATGGGCCTGTGTCTGTGAAGAAATCGGCTAGCTGAACCTCTGAAGGCACGCGGTGGAGGGACACAACTTGATCATGCACCTGTAATCTCATATAGGAAGCATCAACACCAATGTGTTTGGTGAGCTCGTGCTTGACCGGATCCTGAGCAATACTGATCGCACCGGTGCTGTCAGCAGAGAGTAGTGGCTGTAGTGATAGGCACACCAAAATCCTCAAGAAGCCATCATAGCCATGTCACCTCTGCAGTCATAGTCGTCATAGCACGCAGCTCAGCCTCGGCACGAAGAGCATAACGAGGAGTGTCGGTCGGTGCAAAAAGTGATCAACAAGTAAATATTTATAGTTTTGCCGTGCGTTGTGATCGGATGTGGCCTAGCACTCAATGACATAGGATTTATACTGGTTCAGGCAACGTGCCCTACATCCAGTTTCAGTCGGTCGGTGACTTTATTCCTAAGCCCATATGCTCGAAGTTTGCTGTGGGGTTACAAACGAGTAGGAATAAGAAGGGGGGTGTTAAAGGCCCGGTCGGACTCTGAACCGAGAGGCTGAGAGTGACGGGAACTCTAACGTGCGCTAAGTATTGGAGCGTATGCTCTGTGTAGCTTTAGTGTTCTAGAGCTATTGAGCTATTCGAGTTCTCTTTCTTGAGGAGAGCCAGAGAGCCCAGAATAGCCAAAGAGAACGTCCCCCAGAGAGGAGAGAGCGCGTCCCCTTTTATAGTTGAAGGGGATGGCCTTACAAGTCAGAGAAAGAGAGAATAGATACGTGTGCTACCTAGTCTTGTTGCCCACGCTGTTGGGTACGAGACGATCATCGGCGTCTACAATACTGTTTATGTCAGACGCTTGTGGCAGGCTCTACCGTGTTTGTCTGGTACGACAAACGTCGGCGCCTACAATATTGTTTGTACTCTGACATGCCTGGAAGGTTGCATAGTGCCCATCTGGCATGGCCTGGTGGCATCGTCCTAAAGGTGCGTAGGGCATGGCAGGGTACGGTCCTCGGTATTGTGGTTGACTTGAGAGCCTTACCTTATCTGCTATGCCTGATCCCTGGGCCTTCACCGAGCGGGCGTCCCTGGTCGGTCGTCCCTAGTTGGCCCCAACCGTGTTGGTCGGGGAAGAACCATGAGCAGAGGTCCGGCGTATCTCTGGTCGAAAATGGAGGTCGGAGTCGGTCCTCGCCCCCACCTTGGCTAGGGCTTTTGGTCGGGGACCGGATCGTTGTCCCGGTCTGTCATTATGTACATGGGCCGGCCGGGGAGGCGAGCGTTGCTGCTACGCCGTCTGCTGGGCTGGGTTTTTGCAAGGAAGCGGGTCCATTGGGGACCCCGGGTTTATGAACCTGACAGGAGCCCCCAAGCCCTTTTGGGACTCCTGTGAAGCCGTGAAGGGGCTGTTTATACTCGTTTTGCGAGCACACCCGGTGGGTGTAAGATTGTGGGTCACCGTCGGACGAGACGGAGCGTGGACCCGAGGCGTCGAGCGAGACGGAGCGCCAACCCGAGTGTCGGGTGCAGCCGAGGGGTTGGGCGAGACAGAGCGTGGACCCAAGTGTCGGGCGCGGTCGAGGGGTCGAGCGAGACGTAGCGCCAACCCAAGTGTCGGGCACGGCCGATGGGTTAGGCGAGATGGAGCGCCAACCCAAGTGTTGGGCGTGGCCGAGGGGTCGAGCGAGATGTAGCGCCAACCCAAATGTAGGGCGCGACCGAGGGGTCGGGCGAGACGTAGCGCCAACCCTAGTGTCAGGCACGGCTGAGGGGTCCGGCAAGACGGAGCGCCAACCCAAGTGTCGGGCATGGTCGAGGGGTCAGGCGAGACAGAGCGCCAACCCAAGTGTCGGGCGTGGCCGAGGGGTTAGGCGAGACGTAGCGCCAACCCAAGTGTCGGGCGCGGCCGAGGGGTCGGGCGAGACGTAGCGCCAACCCAAGTGTCGGGACGGCCGAGGGGTCAGGCGAGATGGAGCGCCAACCCAAGTGTTGGGCACGGCTGAGGGGTCGGGCGAGACGGAGCACCAACCCAAGTGTCGGGCGCGGCCTAGGGGTCGGGCGAGATGGAGCGCCAACCCAAGTGTCAGGCGCGGCCAAGGGGTCAGTCTAGTTTCGTGCGTTACCCCATCCGTGGTTTCCGCAACTAAAGGGGTTGAGCTAACATCGCTTGCCTCGATGGCTCGAGTGACGTGCTCGGTGAGCTTAATAACAGGCATGTCCAAGTGGAATCTAGATCCGTCGTTCGTAACGAGGTCGGCATAGCCCTCATGTGGCATTCCACTGCTCCTTAACCCGCCTCCCAGCAGATGCTCGAGTCATTCCGGAGACCGACTTAGGTGGCCCACTAGCCTCCCCTCAATGGAGATTCTGTGGGCATGGCTTGAGGTCAGGATTGAACAAGAAGGTCAAGATGACCCTGTCCGCTTCGGAGCAGATCAGGCCAGGGCCACTGGGGCTCATCTACATTTTCTCCCCTGGTTCTGTTTGACATGAGGCAGCCTCGAGCCCTTTGTGGGCTGGCCTTTGAACCCCGATCAATCGTCGCTCATATCGAATGAGGCGACTACCGCTTCATGACGCAACGCGAAGCATTGTGATGCATCAATTGCATATGGAATGCTTGGATGTATGGGACGAATGTATGGATGAATGTATGAATGCATGCATGAGAAAGGATGAATGAATGATCATGCACTAGAAAATAAAATAAAAAAGGGTTTGGTAAAGTTACCTCGATGACTCGAGTGACAGGTCTGGGGAGCTCCTATCGGATATGTCCGAATGGGATCCTTGTCTGTCTATCGTGACAGAGTTGGCATAGTCCGCATGGGGCATCCCATTGCTCCTTATATGTCTCTCGGTAGCCAACCGGGCCGTGCGATCGACCTGGGTGACCCGTTGGTCTCTCCTCGATGGAGATTCCGTTGGTGGGCCCCTCTAGACCCTTCCTGGGAAGGTGGAGGGGTGTTTGCGTGCGGTTGCACCTTGTTTCCCGCCCCCGTATTGCGGTAGTGGTGGGCCCTGCCTAGGCCACGTCCTGTTAACCAAGCGACATTTCATCGGGCAGGGCGCGTCCCATCAGCTAGGGTGCATCCCACCGCACGCCTCTCCGCCTTAAATTGGGGGAAGGGATAGGGTTTTCCTCTCATTCTTTCGCTTTTCTAAAACTGCTACCTCTTCTCCTTCCTGCTTTTTGCCAAGCCCGTTCTTGCGCCACGACGGTTTCTAGGAGAGAGGAGGGTAAAGCGAGGGAGAGAAAAAAACTCACATATTTGTCTGTAAATCTGAGGTGCGATGTCGAACTAGAGGCCATCCAACGTGGATGAAGAGGTGCTAGCCGCTTTCATTGAGAAGGGGTTGCTCCCATCGAAGGAGGTGGCGCATTGGAGGGCTCCTGCGCCGGGGGAGCTTGTTCTGCAACCCTGTGCCGATGAGGTCGTAACCTTCCTCGTTCCATGAGCGTGGACTCGGGTATCCCGTGCACTGGTTCCTGTGCGGGCTCCTCAACGAGTGGGGTATGGAGTTGCAGCACCTCAACCCGACTAGGGTGCTGCACATCGCCTGCTTCATCACCGTCTGCGAGGCCTTCCTCAGGATGGAGTCGCACGTGGGCCTCTTCTGGTGGATCTTTAGTTGGCGAGTCCTATCCGAGGGGAAGCCGCCCAGAATTGCGCCAGTTGGGGGATTTTCTTTGCCGAAGAAGCCGAAGTCATCGGACCCCTACCCTACGTACTCCCCCTATGACTCCAATCGGGGGTGGCACGGTGAGTGGTTCTACATCAGGAACCCGGCGGAGACGCCATTCCTGACATTTACTAGAAGGCCGGAGAGGAAGGAGAGCTGGTCGTGGGTTCCCACCGGTTGGCAGAACAAATTGGAGGTTATCGAGACGGAGCTTCAGAGGCTTGTGCAGCATGGCCTTGATGGGTTGTGGGTCTTTCATACCTTATTCCGCCGTCAGGTCACCCT